CCGGCGAGGGTACGAGCCCCGTTTCCACGGCAGGCGGGCTGCGAGTAGACAGAGGAGCGGCGGAGGTGGAGTTACTAGTCGAGCCATCCGGCGACAGCAATGGCGGCGGAGAAAACCCACCGGCCAGATCATCGGATGACATCGGACAAGTTCCCCTCTGTAGATTTCCGGCGACGGCGGCGGCGGAGATCAATATAAGTAACCCCTTTTCCCGGTTTTGCTGCCCCAATTACGCCATGTGATCAGTATTCCTTTGAGAACCCTTTTGGCTGGACTGCAGAGACGACTATGGAGAGAGTGACGAAAAAGAGAGAGAGAAGAATCTCGAGCGCGCAGAGAGGAGCTTTTTTTTGTGGTTCTTTTTCAACACAGAGGGTGGGATTGAAACTGATCAATGACAAAAACGGCGTAGTTTTGTGCGCCGTAGAGCTACGGACAAAAAAGAGCGCGTCGATTTCCACGTGCTGCCGGAACCCACATTCCTTTTCTATGCCGTGATTCCTTTTCCGGTCCTCTGAATCGTAGGGATTTGTTTGTAGCCGACTATATCGGGTCCGAACTCCGAACAGTACAATTTAGGGAGTGCAAAGTACAGTTAGAGCATGTCCATGGTTAAAGTCCCAAATCTCATTTTAAATGGACCGAAAGCCACATATTAGAATCGACTTCTAAGTAGAGTAAATTCCATAAAAAGTCCCCAGTTATAATTCATTTTAAATATTTAGTTCATACATATCAAATATCAATATTTTAGTTCCTAATTATTATATTGTTTTTCACGAATGATCCTTTCTTAATATTTTCGTTAAAAACGTGGATAAAATTGTAAATTCATGCTCCTCTCTCTCCTCAATTAGTCTTCCTCTCTCTTCTTGCACTCCGTTCCCAAACTCGTTGCTAAGTTTGAAGTTTTGAACTCAAAACCGAAATCGTCACTCCTCTCCCAATTGTTTGTCTTCTTGATGGATTCCAAAATCAAAACCAGAAACCTTCATGGATGAGTTCTAATGTTCGTTTTTTTTACAATTTCCTGAGATTAACTCATAAAACTCATTCGTGAAGGTTATTGATTTCGATTTTGGGTTTTACCAGGAAGATGAAGAATTGAGAGATGAGTGCTCGTTTTGATTTTGGGTTTAGAGCTTCAAACTCAGCGACGAGTTTGATAATGAGTACGAGAGGAGGGAGGAAGCATAATTGAAGAGAGAGAGGAGGGTGAATATACAATTTTATCCAAGTTCTTAACGAAATGTTAACAAAAGACTATTTGTGGAAAACAATATAATAATTGGAATCTAAATTATTGATATTTGGTATGTAGGGACTAAATATGTAAAACGACCTATAACTAGGGACCTTTTATGGAATTTACTCAAAAAGGTAACTCTAAGACCACTGGTAATACATGTAACGTCCGGGGCTTTTTTCCGATTTTAACGTCCCCGGCGTTAACCCCCCCCCCCCCCCCAACAACGGCTATAATGTCGTTGGAATTAAAAAAATTCCCTCCTCTATATATTATTCAATCAATTTTTTTAAAATTCAATACACACCACAAATACAGATCTCTCTCTTTTCTTTCTTAGAAAAACTATTCAAGTATTTGTTTTTATTTTTAATACGAATCTCTTCAGTTTTAACGTTCCTTTGTCCGGTCTCGAGCCACACGAGGAAGCGATGTGGATTTTCCAATCATATACCGGTAATTTGTCGATGTATGACACAAACCTCGGTAATTTCCATTACCCGGAGTTTGTTCCGGGGACTCGACCAGAACCAAGTGCACCAAAAAAAGTGCACGCCGGAAGAGTCACAAACCAAAGGGCAAAAAGCTGATGACTGAGGCGGCACAGCCCATCCAAAAGTGGATCTCGGAGGAAGAATCGTCGTTGGCGTCTGTTTGGGCTGATGTCTTCGAGCATTTTATCGTTGGTAAACTTTATTTGTCTTTTAATATATATTGTATATATGTTATTTTTTAGAGTAAATTCAATCAAATGTCCTCAATTATAGTCATTTTACATATTTAGTCTCTACATATCAAATATCAATAATTTAGTCTCCGATTATTATATTGTTTTCCACAGATGGTCCTTTGTTAACATTTCTCTTAAAAATGTGGATAAAATTGGAAATTCATACTCTTCTCTCTTCTCAATTAATCTTCCTCTCTCTCTCCTCACACTCCTTTTCTCAAACCCGGCACTGAGTTTGAAGTTTTGAACCCAAAACCGAAATCATCACAAATCAAAAATTTGAAACCAGTCACCTGCATGAATGAGTTTTAAGATCTATTTACTTTACAATTTCCTAAAACTAACTCATAAAATTCATCCATGAAGGTTATTGGTTTTGGGTTTAGAACTTCAAACTCAGGGACAAATTCAGGAAGGAGAGAGGAAGCTTAATTAATGAAGGAGAAAAGTGTGAATATACAATTTTATCCATGTTCCTAACAAAAATGTTAACAAATGACCATTTGTGGAAAACAATATAATAATTGAGGACTAAATTATTTATATTTGATATGTAAAGACTAAATATGTGAAACGACCTATAACTATGGACCTTTTATAGAATCTACTCAATCTTTTATATATTTGTATTAAAACATTTTTTCCTTCAATTATATACTCCGTATTTCTTAAAGGCTCTAAGCAAACGAATGATGCGATGTGGGATCGTATCGAGGAGAAATTCTTTACGATGATGAATAAAGACGCCTCCTACCAAACCCCGAGACCAACTCATTTCCAAATGGGCCATATCAAGCGCAAGTTTGAAACTTTTACAAGAGTTTACGAGGAATGCTCTCGGATCTAGAAGAGCGTGACGAATGATGGTGATGTTCTGCGACAAGTGACCACCCGGTATCAAGACGACAGACACTAAGACAAGGTCATTGTCGATCTTTGGAGAATTTTAAGTCGTTCACCGAAATAACAACTCAACAACCCCGAGGCCGAATTGCCAAAGAAAAGATCGTTCGTCGAGGTTGAGGCCGATGAGAATATCGACTCTTCAAAACAAAGACCTCCCTTCAATCTAGACGACTCTGATGATGAGGGCATCATTCCACAGCCAGTCGGAAGGAAGAAGGAAAAATCCATTGCCTCAGGTTTTGAAAGGTCAGGCTCTGTTTCCTCTCACGCTGATATCGGTCAGACAATGGTTGAACAACTGCGGGTGTTCAATATTATGGAAGAAGAGAGAGAAACGAAGGCAAGAGAAAAAAGATGTCGAAAATAATGGAAATCGACCTTGATATGTTAACGCTTCAAACATATGCTTTATGAGAGAAGACAAGAAGAGATCAAGACCAAATATAATTTGCCTTAGTTTTTTATTAATATATTTTTTATTAAATGTTTTTATTGTAATTTTTTATTAAATGTTTTTTAATGTAATTTTTTATTTAATGAATTATTGTTGTTTAAATTTAATTAATTAATGAAGTTTTATTAACTTAGTTTTATAAAATATGCATTAAAAATGTCAAAAAATAAAGGTTTGAAGCCCCAGTTTGAAAATTATATTTAATGATCCTATATTTAAAATTATATTGTATAGGAAAATATAAATAAATTTTTTTCATTAAAAGCTACTATAATTTGAAAAGTTGTTGTCAATTTGTCAATTTTGCAAATGTAAATGTCAGAAGCACTAAATGGGAAGCTAGGATGGGACTAGTCTCTATTTTTTACCTGCAATGGACACGCTCTTAAAGTCACATTCTACTCCCTCACAGTGTTTAAACTCGACCAGCCAAAAACATATTTGGCGGCCAAAAAATTGTTAAAACGTAAAAAATGTGTAATTTGAATTTGTTTACGTAAGTAATAATGATTTTGTATCACATGTTTATAACAAAACTAAGAAATAACATAAGTGTACAATTTTTTTAAAGAAAAGGAATCACCATAAATATAAATAAAACACAAAAGAAGTACCAAAATAAGACTTCATGTTTTTGTTCTTAAAATAGAAATTTACATTGTAAAAATTGACATTGTATATGGACATTTAATAATACGTTTTGGTGTTATATATTAAAATGACTGGCATTGTATTTGCATTGTAACTCTTATTTGGAAATAAGAATATGGAAATTCCATTTGTGTATATTTTATGTTTTACTCTTGTTTAGTTTTTTTTTCTTTTTAGGACGTCATCCTCCACGTGTTGGAAAAGATATGTATACTTTTGCTAGTGGACACCAATGATTGACAAACCCTAGGTGTGTGAGCTGGCCCAACAAGCTGGGCCACCTAAGTGACAGTGCCCTGGCTGTTTGGATGTTGTGGAGGATGACTTCAATTCAAAATTTAGTCATGCCCCCAACAGTGGGCTTGTGCCCGGCCTGGCCGAGGAAGAGGGTGGTGATTGAAAGGGTTGAGCCCACGACACTCGACTCTAGTTCGATGGATGTAATTCACATGGTACCAATTTATACGTTACTCTAGGGTATACCATTTTTTCGGTATAGCTAGCTTCAAATTGGAGAGCGACACTGCATCGACTGAAGGGGAGGCCGAACCCTAAGTGCGACGAAGTGAACTGCGACGACAGAGATCTCACCTAAGGCGATGATGGCGACTTATTGAAAACGACCGCGAATGACGAGCACAACGGCGGAGGGGCAAAACCCTAGATGCAATTTGATGTAGCCATCTCCTCCGTTCAATCCGTGGATCGAACAGGACATGATGAAACGTTGCAGTAGGTGGAGGTGGTGGCGACGCCATGTTTGACGCTGTGGCATGGTGGTTACCTGCTTATCAATCACTTTGATCATTTTATTCACTTAGAATGAAGGCTACATTGTTTCAAGATGAAAACTATGTCAAACATGTTTGGAATGAACACTACGCTACTTTAGAATGAATGTTACGCTGCTTGTAAATGAAAACTGTAATGTGTGGAAATAAACGCTTAATTATTACTCCTTAATTTAAAATGAACATTTACTAAATATATACCTCACTCTAGATGCACCAAATTGTTTGGTACCCAACCCATTCTCATTTTGCAATGTTTGTGTTTGTGCATTTTCATCTGCCAAAAAAATGACTCACAAGCATCGCCGGTAGGCGGTAGGTCCAGTTCGTCTATATTCAGAGGCCGGAGCCCTGACATTCATCTTCCGTTGCACTCCGTACCAAAGAGAATACTTCAGAGTCCGAGGGGGATTAATCCGCACTGCACTGATCCTCAAAATCACACCAATTATTTCGCCCGCAAATGCACAGGCCAGTGACAGACGGATACATCCACCAACAACCACGCGTAGACCTACCTGTCCATGACTCAGAGGATCACACCGATTCCTGGAAGCCTTCGATTCCCATTATCGCGCCGGTAATTTGCGTTTCTGCGAAATTTGATGATAGTTGTGATTTTATGCAAGATTATTGTGCTGTTTGATCGATGAGAATTGGCGAAGTTTGTGGAGAAAGCCTGCAGTTGAATTGAGGAGGGGTTAAAGGATTCTGTTCAGTGGAGGCCGAAAATGAGCAGCGAGAGGCAGGCGGTGAAGGTTCTGGACCTTGTGGAGGAAGCAAAAAGGAGAATTGTGCTTCTCATTGTTTGCGTGGTTGGACTCTCGTATCTCATGTCATGTGAGTGCGTTGCTTTGTTTTCTTTGGCTATTGTTTGCTACTTGTTATGTTTACTCTGGCTGAAAGTGGTTCCCTTCTGTGAGTGGTGGTTTTATGGAGGATTGATTGCAGTAGGTTAATGTCTTAGGGCTTTACACTGTGACGGGTTAATTTCACAGCATTTCATGTTCGTCTGACGCATTTAGCTCCCTGAATGTGTTTTGGTTTAGTTGCAGTCACAGGAAGTATACATTCTCACTCAGTTGGGGATCTAATAGTTTACCCTTGACGCCTGCTTACATGTATATAACACATTTCTTGCCGCATTCGTTTTCATTTTACTGCTTCTGAACCAGAATTAATTAGATGACAACACGAATGCCAAAGGACCGGTCAGTTAGTTCACTAGACTAGCCAGCTCTGAAATGTGTCATACTCCATACAATGAATGAATCAGTTGATCAATGCGCAGAATTTGTCTGATACCAGTGAGGGTTGGATAATCTTGATTAGGACAAGGACATGAATGGTTTATTTCCTTTGTATCCCATCTTTCTACAAACAACTACAATTTACTTCTTTCCCCGCTGGATAAATGCAGATTGTTTTTTGCATTGGTGCCATACCACATATGGTTCTAATCAGGGAACTACATGCACACTACTATAATCATAAATAATGATGATATGTTTGTATATGCAGTTTTCTTCCCTTATAAGTTATAAGTCCATGTTGAGATGGTTGACTAATGAATTCTGAAGTAATGGCAAGATGAGCTGGTGATATAATGCACACATGACATATTTTTATCTTGCCTCAGATACAATTTAACATTTGTTTAGGGTATAGGTTAGGCATGCTTAATTCTAACGATCTAATTATAAGATATTCTTCGTATTAATTGATTAAACCAGTAAAGCTTTTGCTAAGTACAAATGCATGATATTTTGGAGAAACTATTTTTGGCATTTTTGCTGCAGTTTTAGCATATGGAGTATTTGTCTATGCTGCTCTTGGTTGTACCTTATTTAAGACAAAGCACTTACCAATATGTATACGGACTATTATGTTTATATTTATTACTCTTTTCGTTCCGCAATAATGTTTCACAATTGACCGGACACAGAGATTAAGAAAAGTAAAATTGTGAGTTTGAAAGTGGTGTAGAGGAGAGAGAAATAATAAGTCACAAAAACTTTCCAATAGTGGAGAGTGGAACCATTTCTTGAGAGGGACGAGATAGGAAATGTGGAACATTGTTGTGGGAAGAAGGTGTTTGGCACACAAATAGAAAACAAGAAAGCAATAAGGAACACAAGAGATTTAACATGGTTTGGTCTAATCTGACCTACATCCACAGGGGCAACTAGGGTTTGTATTATTCAGGTTCTCATAGAATTACAAGTACAAAGATCGTTATTTATGAAGATTAAACTAGAGTTAAAAGCTTAATTACCTAGTAAGACCCAAGCCCACATAGATATTTAGGGTCGGCTAAATTAAAAACCTAATTTACTGCCATATGGGCCGAACCAAGACTAGGGCCGGCTGCCCTTCTTGGTCAAGCCTCCACATTGAATTCCCCTAACAATCTCCCACTTGGAGACTCGAAACAACGCCCCTTACTTTTCAGCATCTGTAAGTCTTGTAGTCTTCATTTACCACTATTTGCAGCGGCCTTCTCTTCAGTTACCTGAAGGCCCGTTGAAGCTCCCACTGAGCTTCAACTCATCTGTCACAACCTGTGACTCATTCTCTTTCTTTGCCAGCTCCGACTATGACACGTCTATCACTCTCATGGCTTTTGAGACAAACTGAGAACCTACATTCTCCAAACCAAGCAAATAGTTTACATGAGAAACTTTCAATGCCGGAGTACTTGTTTTCCTAACCCACTGTCGAACGGGACGGGACTGAAGCACGACCTATGCTCCCACCGTCACAAAATTCCCTGACTGGTTGAACCTTCCGAGCTAGTTCATTCTGAATCTGTGGGTTTCTCCTTTGCAAAGGTAACCCTCTTCTACACACGAGAATCTTTGAACCTGACCTTTTCTTTTACCAGAATTGGACTTGCTCCTTCTGGAGGTATCTCAAAAATTGCAGCAGCAAACATCAAGGCTGTTCGGATTGTCAATAGATGACTGTCTCGGTGGTTTTCTCATGTGTCGGCAAAAACCCTAGAGTCACTAGGGTTGGCAGTGAAAGCTGATGAGTGTGTACTACCTAGGCTTTGATACCAGTAGGTCCTCTATGTTGGGACTGTGGTATCCTCACCCCAACTCCGCATTAGTATGATATTGTATGCTCTGGGCCAAGTCCTCACGGATTTGTTTTTGGGCTCCTCCCAAAAGGCCTCATACTAGTGAGGTTGGGTAACCATATTTATTTAGGTAATTCTTGTTCTCAACTTCTGACGTGGGATGGAGTTTTCACTTCAGCGACTATTTGTTTGATTTGCACACCATCTTGCACTGTTGCTACACACGTGCAGGACACGCCGCCCGACCTTCTCTTGCCGGGAAGACTTTCAGCACAAGGTATAACGCAGACCACCAATTCGCTAAGGTTACACCATTTGATCTGCCAAATCATCTTGTACGCCGTTAACACCAAAGGGGACGCGCTGCTTGACCACCACTTGTCAGGAAGACTTTTGATACAAGGCACTGCCTTCAGAGCTTCGGTCATGTTGTCACGCCGGGCGCACCGAGAACTCCACACAACACAGTCTGCCACTCTTGACCGCATGAACCTAGCTCCGATACCACATGTAGGGACCACGCGTACCCTCACCGGAGCATTAAAAAAAGTTAAGACCTTCATTTTTGTGATTTTGTCTCTATCCCGCATAACAATTTGCTTGGTCATTAAATTTTAAAACACAGCTTGAACGAGCGATCTGCATGCTATATCCTATAGTCTCATTTTTTCATTTTAATTATATTAGTAAAATTCATTACCCTCACTGCTTTCGAACACATAACCAAGCTGCTTTCTTTTGGAATGGGTAATTTTTCTCTATTGATATACAGTGACAAGCTCTTCAGTTTTAGTCAACCTGCCTGCTGCCGTTCTCTTGATTTTCTCACTTCGTTATCTATAGTCTCTATTTTTCATTTTAATTATTAGTAAAATTCATTACTCTCACTGCTTTTGAACACATAACCAAGCTGCTTTCTTTTGGAATGGGTAATTTTCTCTATTGATATACAGTGACAAGCTCTTCAGTTTTAGTCAACCTGCCTGCTGCCGTTCTCTTGATTTTCTCACTTCGTTATCTATCACTGGATTTTGAGGCACGGAGGAAAGCTGCAACTTATAAGGGAAAGTCATTCACTGCAGATAGTGATTGCCAGAAAATACAAGTTGAGTGCCCAAAAGTTATATCTAAAAAGTCTGATTGGAGAATGAAAGTGGGTTCACCTATCGTGGAGGAAGCAATAGATCACTTCACAAGACACATAGTCTCTGAGTGGGTTACAGATCTCTGGTATGCTCGTATAACTCCTGATAAGCAAGGTCCAGAAGAGCTTGTGCAGATCATGAACTCTGTGCTGGGGGAAGTTTCATTTCGCATGAGAAATATCAATCTTATAGATCTTTTATTAAGGTATATACTTTTGGTTCTGAAAATGTCATTGCCAGTGATCCTATCAGTTAACTGTATATGCTATCTAATCATTTAGTTGCTGTGGTGCAGAGACACTATCAATTGTTTATGCTCCCATTTAGAGCTTTTTCGTGTTTGTAAAGTGAAGATAGAAAAAATACACTCAAGATCCCTAACCATAGAAGAGCGTGACATGGAGCTTAAGTTAATGTTAGCTGCAGAGAGCAAATTGCATCCTGCTTTATTTTCTCCTGAAGCTGAGCACAAGGTCATTCTTTCAATCTGTTCTTTATATTATCTTATTTACTGTTCCCTTAAATTTACCTGTTGTATTAATATGTATACTCTGGGATATTTACATATATATTCTGGCTTGAGTATCTGCAGGTTCTCCAGCACCTCATGGATGGCCTTATTTCATTTACATTCAAGTCAGATGATCTACAATGCTCTCTATTCCGCTACATTGTCAGGGAGCTTCTTGCTTGTGCAGTAATGCGGCCTGTATTGAATATAGCTAACCCAAGGTGTGTGTGTGTAATTTTAGTTTTTCTTTGGGCCACTTGGCTGAATTCTCTTGGCTTTTTATCTTTATTTCTCTGTTGGGAACTTGACCACAGATTTATTAATGAGAGGATTGAAATTTTAGTGGCTTCTTTAAAAAAGACCGAGAAAGTTCCAGAGGCAACCCAAGTACATCCACAGTCCAACACCAGTGGATTCTCTAAAGTGTCATCCAATACTTTTTCTCCTTTCATAGACCATTCTGCTAAGGGTGTTGAACTTGTAGAATTGAAAAAGGACGTCTCTGATAATAGCATGGAAAACAATGTGAAGGACAATTTGAATGGAGCTGACTTATCAAAAGATCCATTGCTTTTGATTGATACACGATCAACACGATCTTGGAGTGCCTTGCCAACACCAACCCATTCCAATGATGGAAGACTTGTTAAACGCCATCATTCTGGAGGTGAGTGGGGTGACATGCTGGATGTGTTTTCTCGCAGAAAGAATGAAGCTCTTGCCCCAGAACATTTTGATAATATGTGGGCAAAAGGCAAAAACTATAAAATAAACGAGGATAAGAAGCCTTCTTATGATCCAACTCACAGTTCTTTAGGTACATCTAAAGCTGTGAGCACGTCAAAGGTAGGTCTGCGGCATAATGGAAACGACGGTGAAAACAAGGTATCTGACTCATCGGTAACATATAATGATTTTCTTCATATTAATTGGAATAAACTAACCCTCTTTCATCCTATCAGGGTGATGATGAGCTTGATGACTTGCTATCAGACGAGGATGTGTCAGAGAGCAGTTCACATTCAACTGAAGACGAAGAAACCAGTGTTGGTCTTCGATCTCCTGTGGTTAAAGTATGGGATGGTAAAAATAGAAGAAATGTTACCCACGTTCATCATCCCCTTGAAAGAACACAAAGGAAAAAGTCTGGAAGGAAGGGAATTAAAGGACAGAATCTGTCTAAACAATCAAGCAAAACATCATCTGGTTTAAAGAGGTCTAGATTGAATGATCACAGAGAACATGTCTGGAAAGAGATTGAAAGAAGAAGCTTCTTATCAGGAGATGGGCACGATATACTGAAATCCTCTAAAGATAATTTGAAACATGAAAACTCAAGTGATGATTCTGGGACAGAAATGCCTGGGAGACTATCTAGTGGAACAACTGCAACATCCTCTTTTGCTACAAGCAATTTATTTGAGAATCATTTTTTGGATGCAGATACTTCAAAATCCTCTAGCTTTGCAGAATCTTTTATGAAATTACGATGTGAGGTACATATCTTGTTAGCTTTGTGTTCTCATGTATTAGATAGTCACGAATGAGGCTTAAAGGATGTTATTTCATTTCTATGCTGTAGGTCATAAGTGGGAATATTGTAAAAAGTGGCACCAAAACATTTGCTGTTTATTCAATATCTGTTACAGACACATACAGTAATAATTGGTCAATAAAGAGAAGGTACACATATGCATACTCCTCCCATCCTCATGATTAGGTTTTGTATATGAATGGGCTGTATGATACTCCCTCCGTCCTATAATGATCTTCCCAGAGCACTATTCCAACTTCACGGGAATTTATATTTATTTGTGTTTTTTCATGGCCTATATGATAAAATAAAATATTCTTGTCACCACTTGTTTTGTTGAACTTTTGATGTAGTTTTTAAATATGTATGTTTTATTTTTTATTTCTATACCAATATTTAAATAAAATAGATTGAAAAAACTTGGGATTTTTCTTCGTTTTGCGAACCGGGAAGACCATTATAGGACGGAGGGAGTATAACTGAATTTTACTGTTGCCATTGATAGGTTCAGCCACTTTGAGGAGCTACATAGGCGTCTTAAGGAGTTTTCAGAATATAATCTTCATTTGCCACCCAAGCATTTCTTCTCAACTGGCCTTGATGTACCAGTCGTCCAAGAACGGTGTAAATTGCTTGACAGATATCTGAAGGTCATTTTGCTTTCTGGGTCTTGATATTTCTTTTCAAGCCACCCATATTTTACATTTTATGTATGTGTATACCTTGTATTGGTATTTTTTCTGTAAATCTGGTTTAAATTATAGCATTTCACTTGAAACTCAATTACACCCCTTCAAATAGGATAAAGTGAAGCGAGTTGTGAGTTATAGAGTAAATGTGATTGGTGTTTGTTGTTCCTAGTATTTGTTATTGTTTACTTTGATGAAGTAAATATTTTCCGCATTTCATAATGCTGTTTGTCAAAATCAACGTCTGTTTTCACCGGCTTGCAGTTGAGCGAGATGTGGCCATATTTTGGTATTTGCTCGTTCTTTTTAAACTCATAACATTTTCTCTTACGGTATTGTATCACAAATTTCATTCTCCTTTAGGGTGGGGAGTGGGGGTGCTGCCAACTCACTATTGACTGTGTTTGTGTGCTCGTACCTTATTGAAACTGGTTTTCATAGTTTGCTTAGTTGAGGAATTTTCTTCACATATAGGTTAAAAAATGAAATGGTGTTTATACTTTCACTTTTGGTCACTAACCTGAAATTGATCTTCCTCTTATGCTATGGCCCCTCAGAAACTTTTGCAGCTCCCAAGTATTTCCAGCTCAATTGAAGTCTGGGACTTCCTTAGTGTTGATTCTCAGGTTTGTGTTTGTATTTTTGTGTTTGTGATTTAATATGTTATTCTCTATTGACCAGAAAATTAGTCTCAGACTTTCAAATCTGTAATTACACAGACTTACAGTTTCTCAAACTCTCTGTCAATCATTGAAACAGTGTCAGGTAAATAATGTGCTTCCATAATGCATCCTCCCTGTGCTTTCTGGTTGTAACTCATCTTAACAAGTTTATATTTTCAGTTTCAGTTGATTTGGATGGAACATTGCATGGAAGAAGTAAAGAACAAATGCAAAATATAGGTCCCATGATTGATTCAATATCCTCCAACAGCAAGCATTTTAATGATGAAAAAAACGTCTATGCTTCAAGGATGAAAGCTAATCATGGGGTGGATGCCTCTAGATTGGACTATAGATATGCAGCAGCGCTCTCCTCAAAAGAACTCAACAAAGAAAACAGAAATTCTATTGAGGACTCAAGCAGCGATTCTGACAATGTGGTACTGAAGAAAACAATTTATTCCTCGAAAACAGAGAAGGCGGCAAAAGTGGGCGATGCTACTGCACATGCATCATCTGAGTTGCCTGTCAATGATTCTGCTGATCCAACTCTTCCCAGTGAGGTAGTCACTGACATATAGTTTACTCTTTTTATATACATCTTTTAGTGTGTCAACTTATTACAATTTTGAAGGGTATATTCTCTATGTATGACTAGATAATACTCTCTTTGTCCGTTAATAAACTTCAATTTCAATTTAATTTAATATTGGTGTAAAATTTAAAAATAAAATTTACGCGTCAAAACTACATCAAAAGTTCTATAAAACAAGTGGTGACAACACTATTTTATTGTAACAAATCATTAATGTAAAAGAAAGATGATATAGCTTGACCTGTGAATAGTGACTTAGTTTATTTTGGGAACGAGAGAGTATGTGATATTGAGTGTTGATTTAAATGCATATTTTCTCAAATTTATCGATTTGACCTTTTCACATTTGGATTAATTGTTAGTTTTTTTTAATTTTTCCCTTCATTTTGGTCTGTTTCTATTCAATAAATAATGTTCAGTCACTTTGTTAGCTTGTTTGTTGAATGCAGTGGATACCCCCAAATTTAAGTGTTCCCATATTAGATTTGGTGGATGTTGTTTTTCAGCTTCAGGATGGTGGGTGGATCAGGTAATTTAATACGTACTACATATTTTGATATGAAAAGCCTTGGGCTTCTTGGGATTAATGTTAAGAGCCCAAGTTTCTTTGTTCTTTTCTCTTTGAATTCCATGTTCATGGTTATAGATGCGGGGTGTGAATTTACTTTCTGAGAAATACAGGAGACAGGCATTCTGGATTGCGAAACAAGTGTTACAATTGGGAATGGGTGATGCCTTTGATGACTGGTTAATAGAAAAAATCCAACGTCTACGACAGGGGTCAGTAGTTGCTGCAGGAGTCAAGCGTGTTGAACAGGTATCTCCTGCCATTATATGTATTTAGTTTTAAAACTTTGAAATTTGTAGATTGAGCCCGTTGCAATTTTCATCATGTAGTTTGTGGCACATATGTCATTTTCTTTAGCGTCGCTTTGTTAGTAATATTTAGATGTTTACGAACTTTTTGAAGTCCATTGCCAATGGAGCTAAAAGAGTTTTTTAAAAAACAATTTTCTATTTTTGTGTAAATAGACTAATTCAATATAGCACATTAAACTTCCCTTGCTTTTGGGAAGTAAATGCAGCAATGCATCAAGGGTCTAATGGAAATAACCTCTTTGTTTTTTACAAGGGTAAGTTTGTGTGCATTTTGACCCCAAACCCCAACACAGTTGGGGTTATCCTGGGTTTGTACATGTCTTATATTAATGGGTAATAGAGTGGGAAATAAGTGAAGAGGAGAGAAAGGGAAACTGCATTTTCCAAAGCCTTTCCATGATTTGGTAGAATGAGAATGTGATAGAATTTTTGGAATAAAATTGTGGGCCCCATAGATGATACGGAGTGTTCCCATGCTAAAATGAAAGGAAATGAATGAAGAGAAATACCTTGGAGTTTGTGCCACTCCTAGAATTAAATCAGAATCCCATTATTAATTACGGAGTTTTATATCTATTTTTTTTACCATACCATTTATTTATTTTAGTATTTAACATACCATACCACTTTAATGTTTCAATCTATTTCCCTACTTTTATCTCTCTCTGTTTCACATATTTCTCTTCTCTTATTTTCCCGTCTACCCATTTCATCTTCTTCTATTTCTTTTCTCCCTTATAAAAAACAACCTCAAGCACTTGAGATGTTGCACTATGCACAGATTCTCTGGCCTGATGGTATATTCATAACAAAGCATCCAAGAAGACAGCGGCCTGTCCCAACTGCAACTCCATCCAGTAATTCACCTCATGGGACCCCTACTTTAACATCTGTATCTAAGGTTGAGGTAATCCGGAATCCAGATGAGATGCAGCGGGTGGAAGATGAGAGACGTGCAAAATTGGTTTACGAGCTAATGATTGGTACACATTTGGGCTTATCATCTATACTGTTTTCTGTATTCCATAGTTTGCTCGTAAAATGTTCTTAGCTTGCTGAAGCTATCTTCCAGATAAGGCGCCAGCTGCTATTGTGGGTCTAGTTGGCCGTAAGGAGTATGAACAATGTGTGAAGGATCTATATTTCTTCATCCAGGTGATAATCTTTTTTCGGCTATTTGATTTTTTTTTTCTGAATTCATTTCTTGATTCACACGTTTGAATTGCTGTCATCATCCTAGTGTGATCTTTTTTTCTTTTCATTTATTAGTATGTAAATATAGGGCCTGTTAGGTAACATTAAAAGTCTGCTGAAAGCTTGAAGGGATGAAGTGACTAGATTTTTCCCCCCGAAATGGGTGACGGAAAATATTGGGGTACCCCCAACAATTGTACACCAAAGGCAAACATAGACATTTTATGTATGTTCGGGCACACTGTCTTTGGTGTATAATTGTTGGGGGTACCCCTAGCATTCCCTGTAGGTGAATTAGAGGATATATTATATTACTCCCAGCCCAAAAACTTTTTTTTTGTTTCAAACAACGTGCAAAATGTCATCTATTTTTTAATTTTTTTTATTTACTAATTGGTATAGAAATAAAAAGTACAACTTACCTTTTTAAAAACTACATCAAAAGTTCTACAAAACAAGTGGTGACAAGAGTATTTTATTTTATCAAATAACTAACGAAAAAGCACATGCAAACAAAAGTTATCGGATGCCTGGGATTGTAAAACATGAAAAGTTCTTTTGGGAGGGAGGGAGGGAGGGAGTATATATTCAAAATGTTCACTTTTAAGAATAGAATAAGGGCAGAAGTGTTAATTTCTTCACTTTAGCCATATCAGCCAAAACATAACTTTTGGACAACCTTATAGTATCAGTAACCATCACAGTTAAATTCTCCTTCCATCCCAAATTTATCTTTCCGTGTGGAAATGACACGGCGCCTAAGAAAAATGTGAAATTTGTAGTTGAAGTTTGCCACAAACTTTCCTTGAAAAGAGTGAGAAGATTATTTTAGGATGTCCAAAAGAGGGAAGTGGAAGATTATTTTGTGACGGAGGGATTAATTAAATTCTGGAGTAAATTTCACAAATGGTCCTCTATATTTCGGAATATTCTACATTTAGTCCACTACTTTCCAAAACTCCATTGGAGGTCCACTTTAATTGTGAATGATGCCAATTTTAGTCTCTTTTCTTCAAATGTCATCAAAATGACACACACTAACATAGGATTAAAAGTAAGAACGTTCCAATTTTTCAAGGACTTTGGTTGGTATATAATGACATAGAAGACTAAAACTGGAAATGTTAACAATTAATATGGACCTCAGATAGAATATCGTATTATCAGTGGAATAAATGCAGAATATCCTTTAATTATAGAAGGCCATTTTGTGAAATTTACCCTAGTTTTTGGAAGAGAATATGGCCGACAAGCATAAAATTAACAAGCCCAAACAGGCACGTAGCCGTGTTTATATGTTCCATAGTTTCGTCTTATACGGTGCCCTTTTCCCTTGCAGTCATCTGTTTGTTTGAAGCAATTAGCTTTAGATCTCGTAGAGCTGGTGTTGTCGTCTGCATTTCCTGAGCTGGATTACGTGTTTAAGGAGTTCCGAGAAGAGAAGGGAAAGTTTGGAGTACTTAGAGAGGACTAGCGGCACATCATTGTTTTATAGGGCAAGTTTTGTTTTTTTTCTTTCACCCACTGTACAGTTTCAGGTCTGGCTTGCAAAAAAAAAGAAAAGAAAAAGAGCAATCTGCAAAAATATATCAGTGTCTGTCTACTGGTCTGGTGCAAATTAATTGTGAAGGGGAATAGATTTTCTATCTACTTAACAATTCTAAGAGAGCCATCATTTACTTTAGATTGATGCAAATACATGTCCGAGTACAACTAAGTTCAAGTTTTTTTTTTTTTTTAAAAAAATATATAATAGATACTTGTTGATACTTTTTCATAAATTGGAACGACTAGAAGCAAACTAGGAGAGGAAAAAAGAAGGAAGCAGAGCTGTTAGTTGCGATGCCAAAAATCAATAACCGGAACAACTCTCCTTTCCATAGCGCAACACCTATATTTGTGTTTGATGATTGTACAAACTCTCTAGTACCGGAGTACATAATATATATTCCGTCCCATAAAACTTTTCAAACACAAAAAAGATGTGCCCTAAAATGTGTAATTTTAATATAATTTTTTTTATTTTGTTTCTCTTTTCGTTCCAAATTAAGTTCCTTGTTTACTCTTTACATTTTCATTCACTTTTTTTTTGTCATTTGATAAAATAAAATAGTCATGTCACCACTAGCTTTGTAAATCTTTTGATGTAGTATTTTGATATTTAATTTTTATTTTTTTAATTCTACACCATTTTTCGTATAAAATAATTTGAAGGCAAACATCGTAAATCGAAACAGACAATATAAATTGGGACGAAGGGAATACTCAATAATAATGTATTTTTGGAAAGTCAATACTAATTTCCTCTTATTTATGAGCTATTATATGAAAATACTTCTAAAGATATTCATTTCAAAGGTATTTTTTTTGTTCCTCTAAAAAACTTATGGGACGGAGGAAGTATCTCTTACAAGAGTGCATTACTCAGCACTCCACTTTTATAATTTATTTTGCGTGGCTATTTTTGGTCTGTTGCAACAATATTTCGATGGACGGAGTACATTTTTATACATCATCTATCAAATTTGCTGTCTTTTTTGCATTTCTAAAAAAATTTAAACTTATCTCATTTTCTATTTTAAAAAAATACGTGGTTCACATTATTTTCTATTTCCCAAACAAATTATAACCACATTTCGTTTTTTCGACACTTTCGTAATAAAAAAAACTACGACTGTAATTAAGGGTATGGCCCTGTGGAATTAACTCGTCCATTTTAAAACCATTTTGGAAAGGTTAGAGTTTTAGTGCATTCTAAAAATACTAAAAAGGCTTTTCATTTTTCTTTTTCCTATTGAGTAGTGAGTGATATGTCTTCTTTTGTTTTCTCTGAACACGTTTATATAAAATAAATATAAAAAACTTTAAAATTTAATTTATTTTACATAAAGTATCTCGTCCCAATGTTTACAAGTATTTTGAGTTCACGCGTTTATAAGAGTATTTACAATGGCAAGTAAGAAATAAAATGACACACGGTGACATGGAAAGTTTCAACCAATAAAAAGCAATCCAGTCAGCGTGTGGCATGAGAGTGGAGTGGCATGTCATGCAGTGGCAAGTCATTGTTTTTATCAATTTTACTTTTTTTTACACATTTTAATTATTTAAATTTATGTTATTTATATTTTTTTCATATAAAAAAATAAAAATAAAAATATTCCAAAATAATTTAAATTATTTAAATTTATTTATTTTATATTTTTATAAACTATACTCTTCTTAAAAATATTTCTTATTTAAAAAAAATAAACTAAAAAATAAAAGATTTAGGTTTTTTTCAAATTTTATACTACCTCCGTCCCATAAAGTGTTACCCATTTTGACTAAAGTTAAAATTAAGGGAAGGATAATTTTGTGTTGACTTTCCAAAAATACCCTTGATGTGATGGGTAAAAGTAGGATGTGATGTGTAGATTATTAGAAAAAAGTACGATGTGATAGGTATGGTTTGAAAAGTAAGGGGTAAAAGTGGTTTTTTAATAGAAATGGGTAAGAGATTATGGGACGCAATTTTTTTGAAACGTGTAAATTTTTTTGGGACGGAGGGAGTATATTTTACATATTTCTTATTACTACAGAGGAAATACTTCTACTTTTTACTTAGGTGTTTTCGAAAAAAAATACTTCTACTTTTTAAAATCTTTTATTTTATGGAAGAAAAAAGAAAGAATTCAGGAAATAGTTGCCTCACCCATGACTTGCCAAGCATGACAATTCTCTTCATCCACGCGAGACAATTCTCTTCCTTTGCTTAAGTGGCAGGCGTGGCAGTGGCACAACCACGCCACGCCACTGCCAATGCTCTAAGGAGGGTTAAAATGAGATCAAATTAGAATAGTGCTTGGAGATTTAATTTAAGCTAGAATTGTAATGTTACAATGTAGACATAACCCTAAAAAAGAAATTTAATAAGGATATTATAAGTATTTTTACTGGTGAAATATTTTGTAGTAGCTTCCAGCCTTCCAGCATATAAAGCCCAATTAAAAACGAAAAAAGGAAACGTTATGGGCCAGCAAAGAATGTGAAGCCCATATCCCAAAGATCCACACAGTAAAACCCCCCTTTATAAACGCCGCGTCATCTCTTTCTTCTCGGATCGTCATCGGAGGGTTTGAGACGGAGCTAGGGTTTCTGCAACTTCAAAGCAATGGTAAATCTCTCTCTATTCTCTGTAGTATCAATTACGATAATCTATGTATGGTAACGTGCGAGGCGAGATCTGATGGATATATTGTTACGATGACTGGAAAAAAACACAGGGAAAGGGAACAGGGAGTTTCGGAAAGAGGAGGAACAAGACTCACACCCTCTGCGTGAGGTGTGGCCGCCGGAGCTTCCATCTCCAGAAGAGCCGCTGCTCCGCCTGCGCCTACCCTGCCGCCCGCATCAGGAAGTGTGAGTCTCCCTTTTCCTCTCTCGGTTTAACCGATTTGATTAGTTCTATTGCTTCTCTGTGATGTTAATCGGTGTTGGAATTCATCATTTTCTGTCAATTTGTTTGTGAATATGGATCAGACAACTGGAGTGAGAAGGCGATCCGTAGAAAGACAACCGGAACCGGCCGCATGAGGTATCTCCGCCACGTGCCCCGCCGTTTCAAGACCAACTTCAGAGAAGGTGTGTTTTTGGATTCACCATTTGCATCTCAGGCTAGAGCTGTTAATTGATGGTTACTGTTTTCTCATGGGAATGGACTTCAATTTTGTTCTGTAATTTCAGGCACTCAAGCTGCTCCAAGGAAGAAGGCAGCAGTATCATCCTGAGTGGCTTTCGAGCGGGTATTTTGCGAGGGTTTCTTAATTTTGTATCATTTCAATTTGGTATTTGAAGTTTTAGAACAAATGAAGTTTTGGGTGAATGTTACTATTCCAATGCTACTTTCTAAGATTTGATTTCAGAATTTGGTCACTGATGGATGATGAAATGAAATGCACTTTTTCGGTTTAACAATTACACATCTTTTAGTGTTTGAAGTTTAATCTTTCTTGTTCTTTTTAGCTTAAAAAAACATAATTCTTCTGTTTAGGTGTTGTCGAGTCTTTGTTTCTCATTTGCTTCAAATCTATATTAAATTGTACTCTTTATGTGGTCTGAAATCTTCTCCTTAGCATGTTATCATGCTAATCTTTGCATCTCATTACAGAATATAGTGAGATTCGAGATTAATGGCAACCATTTTGTTTTTAAGTATTTCACTTTTAAAATAAGCCACATGCCTACATCATTCATCTTGAATTCTAGGAGGAATTTAATCTACTTGCACATCAAAAGTTGTATTCCAATTTTCGTTTATGGGGGTGCGGGGGTGCGTTGGGGATGGAGCGGGTTGGGGGGTTAGGTTTACAAACAATCAATTTTACTATCGGAGCACCGCAGGTATTCCAATTGAATTGGTGTAACGACTAACGATGATGCACCAATTCTGTTGGTGTAAGATTATCTCTCCTTTAGGGTACATTCTTTAGTGTTCCCCTACTATGGATGTACTTTGAAAGACTTCTATTCAGGCTCACCCTAAAATATAAAATGCAAAAGTGTGCCCCCCCCCAAAAGATTCCTTCGTTAACAAATACCGGAGTAAATGATTTCCTGCGTGCCATTGATTGGAGAGTATATTACGGAGTATAATGTAGGAATTATAATAAGAATTAAGGTATACTGTATATGATATAACCTTTTAATCAACTAAGAAAAAGTTATCATTTCTTTAACGTGGCGAATTGTGTTATTGATGTCTTTATAAAATTCCTCAACTACACTCATATTTAAAGTTGTTTATTTTAACGAATTGAATTCTGTTATTTGTCTGTAGTCTTTATAAACTTCAACAACATTCACCTTTTATTAATAATGATAATTGGTGATTTCCAATTCTTGCACTACATATTTGATGAGACACCTATTTTCTTAATAACGGTCAACTGTGTTTTTATTCTCTACAAAAATAGATGCGTTTTTTCATCTTTGTAAAATATCTTTTGTTAAAGTCATCTTTACAAAAAAACTATCTTGAAAATGGTTTTCAGACATAATCAACACTTCTAATTAGTTGAGAAAATTATTTATTTCATACTCCGTATTTAATATTTTAATCTTGCTTTTCCTATCACCTTTGATATAATTTCCAAGTCTTATATTGTGTTATTTGCAAAACTAAGATTTTAAATATAAAGTAAATGTAGTACTCCGCATCTCATTAAAATAGAAATTTTACCTAGGATGATTTTCAAAAGAATTTTTTTGTAAGAATAATTTAATTAAAAAATATTTAATATGAACCAAATACAAACTCACTTAGGGCCTGTTTGGAAATAGCTTTAGCGATTAGCGTTAGCGTTTTGAAAAAACTATCTACGGGCAGCATTTAGCGTTAGCTTTTTCAAAGTAATCTATACCGTTAAATTTTTATCCAAAACGTTAATGTTAATCTCTAAAGCTATTCCCAAACAGGCCCTTAGTTTACAGGGACTAAAACCCTATTTAACCCTCCTAATAAACGTGTGAACTCAAAACACTTATAAACATCAGAACGAGATATTGTATGCAAAATAAAATAAAGGTTAAAGTTTTCTCAATTTATTTTATATAAATATAAAAAAATAAAACTTGTTTATTAAAAAATGACATCAAAATTCTATTCCTTCCGTTCACCAAAATATTTCTTCTTTCATTTTTTTTCTTCTACCAAAACATTTTCATTTTCTATTAAAAAAATTATAGTTAGTCTTACTTTTTCTTACCCTACCATCATAACATATTTTTCAC